GGGAGGTGTCGCGTGGCTACAGGCGCCACTCGGTAGCCCCAGCCCCAGGGCAGGAGTTTAAAGGCGCCTACGCGAGCGCCTCTTTCGTGTGAACGCAAAGCGCGGCGAGATCCGGATTCCAGACGCCCTGCAAGCCACTTACCATCCCTGAACAGAGGCTGATGACGGCGGTGTGCCGGGGCTGGGCATTGACGTGGCCTCGGTAAAAGCAGTGCCTCACATCGCTGGCCAGCTCCGTCTGGTTCCCACCAGGCCCCCCCAGCAGGCTGACGGTGAAAAGTGGCGCGATAAATCCGGAGTGGGCCGTGAGGTTCAGTAGGAACTGCTGCCCAAAGGCAGAGAGGGGGCGCGGGCTCCGGATCGGCGGGGACACTTCGCCTCTGGCGCTGGAAGGGGGCGTGCGTGGGAAGGGGGGCTCCGAATTCGTCCACCCGGCGGGGGGTGACAATCTCGAACTCGCGGAGTTGCTCCAGCCGGTGAGCTGCAAAGAGGAACAGACACGTGCCCGTGTAAAGCAGCGCTCCCTCTCCGGCCAGGCGGGGATTTCGCCGGCAGGCTTAGCTGGGAGGCAAGCGAGGCGGCTTGGCTTTCTGGGGGAGGCGTGGGGGGAGGTAGCTATAGTTACAAAACAAATCAGCGCTCCGCTAGGTTGCCTGTAAGGGACAAGCACTCGGTGCACTATTATTTGCATTGCAAGAGCACCTAGAGACGCCAAACCCTGACCCCTCTTGATGGAGGTGCTGTACAAACACACGACGGGCCCTCCCCCCGAAAGACAGTCCTTGCTCCCAGAAGAAACAGCAACACAAGAATCCGGAGTTCCCGTGCAAACCTGTCAGGCACAAGAATCCGGAGCTCCCGTGCAAACCTGTCAGGCACAAGAATCCGGAGCTCCCGTGCAAACCTGTCAGGCACAAGAATCCGGAGCTCCCGTGCAAACCTGTCAGGCACAAGAATCCGGAGCTCCCGTGCAAACCTGTCAGGCACAAGAATCCGGAGCTCCCGTGCAAACCTGTCAGGCACAAGAATCCGGAGCTCCCGTGCAAACCTGTCAGGCACAAGAATCCGGAGCTCCCGTGCAAACCTGTCAGGCACAAGAATCCGGAGCTCCCGTGCAAACCTGTCAGGCACAAGAATCCGGAGCTCCCGTGCAAACCTGTCAGGCACAAGAATCCGGAGCTCCCGTGCAAACCCGTCAGGCACAAGAATCCGGAGCTCCCGTGCAAACCTGTCAGGCACAAGAATCCGGAGCTCCCGTGTCAACCCGTAAAACACAAGAATCTAGAGTTCCAGTGTCAACCCGTCAGGCACAAGAATCCGGAGCTCCCGTGCAAACCCGTCAGGCACAAGAATCCGGAGCTCCCGCGTCAGCCCCCCAGGCACTGCCAATAGCCCAAACCCCGCACCCCTCCTCCCCGGAAAGGGTTATGTGCTACCCTCAGCCTGGGACCCGCTTCAGAAAGCTCCCCCGGGAAGCGGCCAGAGCCGGGTGAGCGCCGCTGCTGTCCCCGGGCAGCCTGCGCTCCCCGCCCACAACCGTCAGGCACAAGAATCCGGAGCTCCCGCGTCAGCCCCCCAGGCACTGCCAATAGCCCAAACCCCGCACCCCTCCTCCCCGGAAAGGGTTATGTGCTACCCTCAGCCTGGGACCCGCTTCAGAAAGCTCCCCCGGGAAGCGGCCAGAGCCGGGTGAGCGCCGCTGCTGTCCCCGGGCAGCCTGCGCTCCCCGCCCACAACTCTGCAAACTCCTGGCGAGCGATCCCCGCGGGCGCGC